ATTGGTGTGCAATCGCATCCCCAGAGAGCTTTAGGTTTTGTTCAAGAGTTGTCGCACCCTCTCACAGTCATTTACACCGTACCCCCCCCCCCCCCCCCCCCCCCGCAAAGAGATCACTCTTAGTCTGATTCTTGAGACTGAGCATACTGTTGCATTCCTCGTTAAAACTGATGTGCTCTTCGAGCTTCATAATATTATAGGATTTCACAGTTACGGTATGAGGTATGTTCCGCCTGGTTGCGCTCCAGGTTATGTTAGGGTGCTACATGTGGACGATCGTCAAGATTTATAGCCTGCTCTGTAACACACCCAATGCTGTGTGTGTGTTCAGCAGGCTCCAGTCACCCGGCATATTTGCATAGGCAGCGGCCTCTGCACTTCAAATTTTCTCACAGCCTTACTGGCATTTGGCGAGAGTGATATGATCACTGCAGCCACAGTGTGCTTGGGACATTTACCACAAACCCGGCGTTGCTACATGTAATGTAATAGCGAGTAACTAACGTTACTTAGTACAAAGTCATTGCACTGTGTCAACCGTAAGCCAACATATTCATCAGTTTACTTGAACCCAGGTAGTATTTGCTGCACCATGCTGTTTATGATCCTGAGACAACTAGTCTCTTAGTCTCTATAATCTATGTATTCATTGAGTATTCTTTTTTTGTATATTGTTATAGGCCTCGCAGAGCACTTTTCACACAAGCTCTCTTCATTCTATAAGCCTAAGTACCCGAGGTACGTTGCGAACCAGTGCAACATTCAGTGAATTTATGCTCATGCCATCATGTGCGCATCATTTGTGTCCGGATGGGAGCATGCGGGGGGGGGGGGGGGGGGGGGGGCAGGTGTTGTATGCGCTGGACACTACTGACAGTCTCAGGTACATGTGTGCAGCAGCTGTTCATGGCTGTGCATAGTGGAGCTGGGCTTCAAAGTGGGAAAGTGATGGCACATGCAGGCACAGCACACTGAGAGTGCTAGCTCCAAACAGTACATGTCTTGGTATAGTGCGGTATGTTGGTGAATAAGCAAAGACTTTAAAAGTCCCCCAGCGAGCGAAGAGTGCTCAACACCGTGACGGGTGAAGTCCGTACACACCAGTACTTGCAGTAGGGACTCAGGCCAGTCAGGGAGAGAAGATCTCCCAGAGCCTCGTGAAACTTGGAGTTTTTATAACCTTCTATTAAAGTCTTCTTCCTAACTACTGTGTGTACGTTAGGGTCCGGCGGATTCTGCCGGCAGAACAATTGGCAGAATTCGGTACTTTGTCTGGTAAGTTCTATGCATGTTTGGTATGTGGATAAAGAAATGGAGCAGAATTCGAGGAATTGCCCACCATAAGGTTTGTATGGTTCTGCCAATTTCACTTCTTTTCGAGCAGAATCCGCCGGTCCCTAGTGTACGTTGGTGTGTACAGGCGTATTCTGGAACCGGGGTACCACCGGACCAGGTATTTTACGACTCCCTGCATGCACCGGACCGACTTTTTGGCCGCCGAAACACGTGTTTACCACTGTGGAGGGCATAATTTATATCATACACAAAGTATGCATGGGAGAGGCCCGGACACTGAGTGATGCCTCAGTAACTAACGGGACCGGCGGAAGCAGTTTTTCATTGGTCCGGCCATACCATAGACTGTAAGACAGTGTTTCATACTTTGTGTAAGATATGGTGGTTTCACATAACCTCCTCAGCAGTTAAAAACAGTTGGTTTGGCCATGGCCTGACCAACCACGCATACACACACGGCCATACTTGTAAGCATGATTTTTGTCTAAACCGAAAGATTATGCCGACCTTACACTTTGGAATCCGTATATTATGCCGGAGAATAATTTTTGGACGAAATCCCAAGATTATGCCAAAATATTATGCCGGCATAATCCGCCAAGGGCTATGACAAGGAGTCGTAACTGGGGTATTAAAAAAAAACACCTGCAGGCTTTCTGACAAAGCTGTATTAATGCCCCTAAGCATAATTTTTGTCTAAACCGAAAGATTTTGCCGACCTTACACGTTGGAATCCGTATATTATGCCGGAGTATAATGTTTTGACGAAATCCCAAGATTATGCCAAATATTATGCCGGCATAATTCGCCAAGGGCTACGTGCTGCACCAGCAGGGCATACACGGTTGTGTAGGGTGGGTGGCCGTCGATAGCTCGGATAGCCCTGTTCTGTAGCAGACCCAGGCGATCAAGCTGGAGACCAAGGAGCGCGGGGAAGAAGGCGTTACTGCCATAGACTATGTCAGGGATGACAACAGCCTGGACGAAGTGACGGCGTGCAGATCGTGATAGGCAGCGACGGGCTCGCCACAGCGCACCAATCTTACGGGTAGTCTTGCTGACAATTCGGTCGACTTGAGCGTCCCATGAAAGCTTACTATCAAGTACAACACCAAGGTATGTGGTAGTCAATGCTGTTGGAACGGCTACTCCACGACACTGGACAATCACGAGAGGGTTGTCCACCTGTCGGTGAGGAAGAAAGGTCACAGCTCGGCTTTTGGTAGAGTTGATGACAAGGCCCCTCGCCTGTAGCCAAACAGCTAGGTTGGTGACTGCCGTCGTAAGCGTAGCGGAGACAGCCCCAACAGAACTCTGCGAGGAATACAATGCTATGTCGTCCGCAAACTGGATGCTGGTTACAGGGTGCAGGACGGAGGGGACGTCGCGGGTGTAAATGGAAAATGGAACCGGACCTAGCACAGATCCTTGTGGTACGCCACACGTGCAGGGAGTGGCCTGACTCGTGGTTGGCCCAATGCAGACCATCTGCTCTCGCGCAGTTAGGTAGCTGGTAAACTAGGTGAGGCCTGATCTGCACACACCGACGTCAAACAGATCGACAATGAGCTGTGTGTGGCGGACTTTGTCGAATGCTTTGGACATGTCCAATGTGCATAGTCCGGTCACATTTCCCCTGTCCTTGGCAGCGAAGAGACTGTCAGTGAGAAGGCAGAGGGCATCCTCAGTGGAGTGGTGCTGACGGTAGGCAAATTGAGTAGTAGGGAGGCACTGGTTGGTTCGAAGGTGGCGGACAAGTTGGCGTTGGACGATATTCTCAAGGGAGTTAGTGGTTCCAGTATTGAATAGCTTGGTCTTAAGACCGTCACGCCGTCCAATCTGCCTCCCATGGAGCGTCTATCGCTGGGCTGCACTGTCACATGGTGTGCTTCCCTGCTTGGGAATCGCAGTTCTGGGTTTCAGGCATTTCAGCCATCACAATTGGTTTAGTTGGCAAGAGAAGACATCGGATTATGCGCATGTGACTCGCCATGGATCGTTACATATAATCAAGATTTCATAACCCCTGGGTTACCCAATGCTGTAGACAGCAAGCTGTTTCGGCCATAAACCCCTGGGTTATGTACTATTGATAATAATGTATGATCCCCTGCACCCCTGCCGTGTGTTCGTGCATGGCAACTACTACTTTTGTACGATGGAGTACAGGCAAGGCAAAGGCAGCATGGCTATGAACATAATGAAGTACCAAAGGTGTGCGATGAATTAATTGCACACGTGATTTCGTGTTGATAGGTGCGCCGGCGTTGACTAAGGGACCTCTTGCCGGCCCGGTGCTGAAAACAAACCAGAATAGCTCCTGTGCACTGATGCTGGAGTCGAGTTAGGAGTGATTGCTCTGGTCGGCTGAGTCAGGGCACAAATGAAATGAGGTCCGGCTCATACTCATAGTCTACTTTTCACACAGACACAGTTGGGATGACCTGGGATTGTTGTGTTAGCACATGTCCAAATACGTGATAGATCTACATGTCCAAATATGTGATGGATCTACATGTACATGTCCTCGTACATACATACGACTAGAGCTGTATACTATTACTAGTAAAAGACTTGAAGTTCACTCGACATGCATGGTTTCGCAATGTCTTTTAGCCTGTGCGTTCGAATGCGAATATCCGGTATGAGACCATGGGCGGCCGGCGTCTTCCCATTTCCAGCCGGCAAACACTGTACTACTCGGTACCAACAGCCCGAGTATCAGGACAGATCGCTTGCAGCCTGCCTGATTGAAGGTCAGGCCCCACTTGAAAGAAATGTTAGGTTCACCAGGCGGCGCAGTGACTACGGCCAATAACTAGTAGTAGAGGGCCGATTGAAGGTTGATGATTTTCGGCCACAATGATGATACATGTTATTAGAGGGTGCGACAGAGCTCTTGGCCATTGAAGAAAATGTTGAGTATCACCTCCACCACTGCACTGCGCTCTCAGCCGACTAGACCCTCCTGCACACAACCATCACCACTGCGAGGACACTTCCGTAGACTATATTGATAACCTTTATTCCTTCAGACAGCTGTTTCGCAAATACATGGCTCATCAGTGAAGGTAGTTAAAATAGTTTTTTTTTCACATACATGTACATGTACAATGATGATGATACATGACTAGACTTTCAGTACAGTTTGTTGTTTAGTTTGGGCAAGAGTGCACGCTACCAGTAACGTACATGTACTTCCATTTTGTTGAAGTACCTAAGCCCCTCTCTCTCTCCCCCCCCCCCCCCACCAACACGTCATTCTGCATTGTGTGCCTTGTCCTGGAGTTTGGGAGTTTGGTGCTAGTCCGCATCACTACCGGTAGGAACCGGCTCGCCGTTTGGTTGCCTATCTTGCTGCTTACCCGTCTCGTTGTTGGCAGATCTTGTTATCTCCGGCACTAGTGACCAATCCCGACTCGCCTCCCATACATGAATCGGCGGCGGTATCAGGCACACATTGGTATCAGAGTCTCAGCCTCCCCTCCAAACGCCATCACTATCATAGTCAGCGGATATTCTCCTGCATATCGACCAGTTCAACTAGAACCCCACCTGCTATGGCGGTGTGCTGTATAAAAGGCATGCTGAGAGCTTGATGCCCTCCAGAACAGACCTAGGTGATATTCCAAGCGTTATTCACGTCGAGTTCTGTTCTGGGGATTCAGTCCGGCCAAGAAATCCGATCTGCCCTTATCGAGGCGATGACCTCCCTTCGTTTGTTTCTTTGCCTGTGCGGGCTACTTCTTGTGGGTGGAGTGAGTTCGCGGGAGATAGAGCGTAACTCGGTCACAGCTGATCATGATGGTGTCCGCAATGATGGTGACGAGAAGAACATGCTACAGGATCTAACCAATGTTCTTGAACATATCGACCAGCAACTGGCAGAGCAACAGGATGATGGTGGAGATGACGGTGGCGATGGTGATGGTAGTGACAGTGGAGATGACGGAGGTGATGATGCCGGCAGTGATGGCAATGCCGATGTTGAGTATGACAACGGGGATGTGCGTGAACATGATGATGATGATGATCTGGATCAGTATGACATCAATGATGACATGGATGAGGAAGGCAGCGATGATGGTGATGATGTCACCGAGGAGGATGGCAAAGCAGTTAGCAGTCGCTCCCCAGCACCACTGTTGGGCCGTCTCGTCAAGCGGGTTCTGCCGAAGATCCGCCTTCCACGAATTCGTCTGCGCCGCATTCGCCTACCTCGCATCCGTCTGCCACGCCTGCCCCGTATCCGCATTCCACGTCTGCCTCGCATTCCACGTCTGCCCCGCTTTCCACGTCTGCCCCGCTTTCCACGTGTGTACTATCGCAGGCGTAGAGTTTCTCCGCCTCGCATCGTCTACTACCGACGCAGGCGCACACCCAGGCCTCCATACTACGGCCGTGGCAAGAAATGAAGCAAGGTCGAGCGTGCTATGCCAAGATCGCGGTCATCACAGGTGCTAAGAAATGATAGCTGGGCAATTTCACCTTCACTTTCTCAATCTAGTTCATCCCATCTTGCTATTTGCAAGCTATTCACTTTACATATCACATGCGCTTGCAGGCGGCACGGTTATCATGGACCTGCACGCTGGAACCAACCATTTTGATGCCACAGACTGTATTCCACATTCACAACTCACAAGTCATATATTTCACAGCATAGGATTACGGTCGCTCATACAACATGCCTACTTCAGGGAGCTTATGTACTCTTGCTCCATCTATACATGCATCAGTCACTGTGTGAGCTGCTGTATTCTACTACCGGTATTAGTATTACAAAACAAAAGTACGGTAACATGGTGCATTTTGGAAAGTTATAGTTTCTCACCTTCTCGAATAAATGCAGCAGCACGATGATTGACTCAGTGAATGACTGTTATACGCCTGTGGCCGAACAGTTTCCAGTCCTATTACTATTACTCCTATTTCCTAGTAATAGCTATTACTCTACGTGTGACACAAGCGTATCTTCATGGTCTTTGCAAGAGAGCCATGACTCAGTACTGCATGTAGTGCGTAGTCACCATGGACCTTTCACAATAGTGTACCTGTTATGGGGACGGACCTGCTATGGAGTGGTGCTGTTTCTGTTTCAGTGCTGACTAGTCGACTGCACACCGCGCCGGTACGCGGTACGGGCGACTATGCTGGTACTCGGTAGTCATGGGACCCAATCCATGCATTTTGCACGTGTGCCAAGCTCAGGATGGGGAAAATGTTCAAAAATGAAATATTCAAAGCTGAAACAGTGAAAGAAGCTGCACTTCGAAGCTTCATCACAAAGCCAATAGTAGACTTCAAGTTTGTTTTGAGTTGGACGTCTTGTTTTCAAGCAGAACAATACGAAAGAAGTGTTCCCACAAGTACAAGCAGCAAAAAAACAACGTACAGCACAATAGTAGATATTGCTTCCTCCTAAGTTGGAGCAGGAGAGACTTCTAAAGGGATTATGTTCAGAAAATAGCTTTGTTCTCCTCGTGAACTTATTTTATTGTCTTGGAAGATGGAGTCGGAAGCTAGCCTCGAACAATCACTAGCTGATTATGACGCTCAAGTATGTCTTCGTGTTTTGTTCTGAGTGTTTTAAAGTTTCAACAATCATGTTGGTGAAGTGTGTTTGGGAATAAATGAGAAAACAACATGATTCTGCTCGCCTCCCATTTTATTTTGAAGTAGGTAGATAGCCTGCAATCTTTAGTTCTTGCGACTCTATGCAATAATTTCGTTGCATTGTGCAGTTAAATGCCCTTTTGGAATTCTGTTTATGAATTCAAGGGCTCACCAACAGTGAGGCTAAACCAATGTTTCATTATGTCCTCCATTGCTTTGCCAGGTTGTGACTTGTGTGCACTTCACTTAGCACAACGAGTCCAGGTGCACACATGACTGAAACCTGTCGGAAGGCTACCTTCTTGCCAAAGCATTTGGAAGTTAGACTAGTTTCGGCTCCACAATCCAGTGTGTCGTTACTATATAGCTTTCATGGCTGAGGTTGTTGGTATGTCTGTTGGCTCTGGGTTCCCAGTACTCAGTAGCCGAGGTTGGTTGGTAAAGTAACTCCAATTTCACTTCAAGGTACCAGTGCACTAGTGTCTGCTTCTATCAAAGCAGCGTGCTGTCTATACTGGTTACCCCAGCAAGCGTAGGGTGTGCATAGGTAACTGTCTTGGCTGTTTTTGCCAATGTACTCCGTGTGGTGTAGACCAGGTGTGCATTGGTGGTCGATTCACGTGGCTTCGCAGGTTGTGTGGATTGGACAGTTATCTGGCGCAAGTCTTGATCTGTCTCATTCAGATCTTGTTCGCTATCGTTGCTATAAGAGAAAATCTGTGGGTGCACATCCAGTGCATTTGCAGATTTGCGTGCTTCTCTTGCGACGGGTACATACAATCATGGTACATGACTGAAATGTACAAATCGCCCGTGTGAGGACTCATAAAACTGGATTTCTCCTCAGTACAAACTCGCACTAGTTCGAACCCCAGCAGCATGAATGCACAGTATCTCAAGCTGAGACACTGCATGGCCATACTGGCATGTTTCAACTTGATCAAAGGCTTGTGAGCCGGATGACTTTCTTATTACATGACTGTATGTTGAGAAGGGAGAAATAACTCAAATAAGCAACAACCTTACCTTGACCATTACCTTGAAATCAGTCACTTCACCGCTCCGCAATGCTCTCTCGGCCGACCCAGTCCCCGTTACATCACCACCATAGCAAGGAGGGCAATTCCTTTGATATCTTGATATCGAAGACCCTCCAGACAGCTGATTCTCTCCAAACAGAGCTCACCAGTGGCGGTCTACGAGTAGATACATGAATGATACGAGGTGAATGAATGATCCTATTGGACTGAAACTGGCAGTTGCACACTTTTTCTACATAGCAGTGTGGCACACCCTAAGAAATGGAGGTGCTAAAGGTGATAGAAGTGATTAGCGCAAGCACGCATTACGTCCCAGCAATGCGCGCTTGCGTTATCACCTATGTTAGGAGCTGTTAGCACCTTTTGCACCTTAGTTTCTTGGGCATGCCGCACTTCTACGGTACGAGCCATTATTCTAATGAGGCGCAATTTGAACGATTTCCTAAATTTTACCGGTCAACAGGTGCAAAAGGTAATAATTTTCACTCATTCTCACTGCTCAACACCAGAGTGGAGAGGAAGGTACCGGTATTAGCATCAATTTCCGTCTAACTTTTTTTCATTTTAGCGACCGATTTCTCCTCATTAACACGTTAGATTTAGTACTTCGTCACATATAATGATTATGTGTAACAAAGTACTAAATTTTTTCTTCAGACTTTTCCCGTTTGTCTCTTTCCCTCAAACTAGTGAAAAAGTACTAAATCTAGCGATTTTAAAAGGCTTTTACAGTATGGAGAAAGTGTGCGATTACACTCATTTTGCCCTATGTAACACCATTCATGGTGCACCTCACATCATTCATTATCTACTGCCTCCACTGATGAGCTCTGTTGGAGCAAAACAGCAGTCTGGAGGGACTGCAATATCAACATCTCAACAGAATTGTCCTCCTTGCTATGGCGGTGATGTGCAAGCGGAAGGGGTCGGTCGGGAGCGCATTATGAAGCAGGGAAGTGACTGATTATGGGATTGTATATTCTTTTCTGTTTCTGCCTATGACGGGGAGTGCCCTGGACCTACACATAGTATAATATATTGATGTTGGGCTCCCATACCTGTGGTTCTGGACATGGCCTAGCAGACACCAAGGAGAGCATGTTTGGTTCTGCTTTTCCTAGTCGCTTTTACCAGGAATTTATCTATTGGTTACAAGGAAATCCTGTGCATGTGTACTAGTTATGGTTGAGAAACACGAGATATCATGTTGCTAGTGAATGCTTTATCTGGCTGGTTTTATTGGGCGGTGAATGCCATTGATCAGATGTCACTTGTTTGGAATCATGTTGCTGGCGTGGTGAACAACTTTGGCTGGAGGGCGTATGCAGTGACGGAGAGTTGGACGTCTTCTTGAATCAACAGGACCAATGCTGCTGCTGCTGCTTTAAACTACCTTACTTCGTACCCCTGCTTGTTTTTTGTTTGTTTCTAGTCTCTATCACATCAGTCCTTTTCCTTTTGTTCTTGTTGGTGTTGCTGTGGCTGCTGCTATTGAAGCCTCCATCATTAACTTAACATTGTTGTTGTCTTGTTGTCGTCACTGTTGTTGTTGGTGCTTGTTCTGCTTCTTCTTCTGTTGCTGTTGTTGTCACCGTCATGCTTATTGTTCTCCCCGTTGTGTAGATAGCTCAGTTGGAAGCAGTGGCAGGTTCAGTCACCGATGGTCAGGTGCCTGCTGATCTGCAAGAGTTACTTGAGCAACTCCGTGAGCTACGCAAACTAACGGAAGGTATGGTAATTTGCTGTGAAGTATGCTCTCCATCCGCTCACTGACAATGACCAAATATTCAACATCCAGTTGTTTTATTGAAATCGCACACAATGCACGCACACACACACGCACGCACGCACGCACGCACGCACGCACACACACACACACACACACACACACGCACACACACACACTGTGGACAGGTTTAGCTTTTTAGAAGTCTATCTAGTCACACTGCATTCGTTCCTTGGCAAGGATTTTTCGCTTGTGTTTTGCTTGATTGGTCATGTTCAGAAAGCTTGCTTATTGCCAAGAAGAACCGACTGCTTCAGATGTTGTCCGAAAATGATGAGCCTAGTTCCAGCCAGGTATGCATGCAGTGCTTGTGGTATCATGTTTGCATGCTGTGCTTGTGGTACCATGTTTGCATGCAGTGCTTGTGGTACCATGTTCTCACTAAGTGTAGGTATCCACAGCCATGATAGTCACTTTCCTATTATGGCTTAGCAAGGATTGTCAGTAGGCCAACAGCTCAGTACGGCTTTAGAATTCAAGTTAGTGCTCAGGCAACGTGTGTGTGTGGTTGTGTGTGTGGTTGGGGGGGGGGGGGGGGGGGGGAAGGGGGTCTTGCAGCCTAGGGAAAAGGTCATCCTACTACGAGGGCTGCAGCTGAGTGAAAAGTCAACTTGAGTATCGGATCCCATGGTCATAATGATCTGTACTAGTATTTAGCCTGGAAGCTGTATATGGTATCTGAGGTCAAGTCACTTGGATAGCTTATGATTGTATCTTACTAAAACCGTCTGTGGGTGTTGTACTTCTAAATACTAAAACATACTACATGTACTACTATTCTACAATTTACTGTTGTGGACATGGAAATCCGGTCGCACGTCTAGCGGCCTCAGGGGCGCTGGCCATGCAGCCGTGCTCTACACACATGCATTTATGCGCTGCAGCGCGCTGGTCCCATCGGATCAACATGTGCACTACACGCACGCGCTGAGGGCGCCGGCCCCGGTCAATCGACTGGATTTCCATGTCCGCTACAGTACTTTGAATCCCGGAATGATGGGCTGGCACATGTACGCTAGTCTGTTCAGGCTGGGTACTTCCCTACCCCCCCCCCCCCCCCCCCCGCACACACACGCACACGCACACCTCACCTCACCTCAGACCTGCCCATCGCAGAAGCGATGATAGCGAACAGCTATGTTAGACATAGCAACTTGTGCTGGGATTACACCATTCAACAGCTTGCAAGGCTGATGAATTGACCGCCACTATGTTTAGCCTGGTATCCACCACACAGCTGTTTGAAGTGACTTTTTCTGGCCAGTGAATCCCTATTTTTCATTTTTCCATTTTTTCTACACACGCACACCACACCACATACTCCGGCATACACTGGCTGTTGGTAACCACCCAGGAGAATGAAAGAAAAGTCACACACACACACACACACACACACACACACACACACACACACACACACACACACACACACACACACACACACACACACACACACACACACACACACACACACACACACACACACACACACACACACACACACACACACACACACACACACACACACACACACACACACACACACACACACACACACACACACACACACACACACACACACACACACACACACACACACACACACACACACACACACACACACACACACACACACACACACACACACACACACACACACTTCCTAGCTAGAACCTGTGTGTGTGTGTGCGTGTGCGTGCGTGTGTGCGTGCGTATATGCGTATGTGTGTGAATGTTTGTGCGTGAGTGAGTGTGTGTGTGTGTGTGTGTGTGTGTTGAGTTGAGTCTCTTGAGGTCAGTTTGATCTTTTGAGGCTCTGTCTAGTTCCCGTCTTCTACTTACTTGGAGCTCTCCCTAAGTTAGTTCTCGCCCCCCAGGGCTCTCCTAGCCTTGCTAGGAGAGCCCCTGGCGTCCAGATAGAAATACAGGTCGGAGAGGCTCACGGCGCGTCTTCCAGGACAATTTAAATTTTGATATTGTCACTGGCGCGCCGCTCTCCGTCCTCCATCCGCAGTGGGCTAGCTACCCCTCGGATGTCGCCTCTACCATCCTCAGCTTTCCAGCAACCAGAAAACGGGCGACGTCGTCGCAGGCAGGATCCCCCCAGCAGAAGCGATTCTCTACTAAAATTCGCTTCGTGGAATGTCAGAACTCTCGTGAATGCTGACGGCCCAATCGAAACTGCTGCGTCTGGACATAGAGTAGTCGAGGACAGGAAGATCAATACTGTCATAAATGAGCTGAAGAGACTCGACATCGAAGTGGCTGGACTTCAGGAATCGAAGTGGTTTGGAGCTGAGATCTACAATGTCGCGGATTCGATCGTGTTGTCGTCTGGACGTCCCGTACCATCTGAAAATTTCAAACGCGGAGAAGGAGTCTGCATCGTCCTGAGAGGCCGTGCACGGAACGCTTTCTCGGCAGGAGGAAACCAATGGACGGCGGTATCGTCGAGAATTGCACAATGCAAGTTGAAGTTCGTCCACCACGGAAACAAAAACACCTGGATCAATGTGATTGCATGCTACGCTCCAACTTTCAGATCAAGTAGGGAGTCCAAAAATGAATTTTTTGCATCCCTGCAAGCGAGCGTAAACTCAGTGCCACCAAGTCAACAATTGATTATCCTTGGCGACTTCAATGCACGGGTTGGTCTCATCCAGAGTGCTGATCCATGGTATGAGACTTGTGGAGATAATGGGATAGGGGAAACGAACCACGCTGGACTGGAACTGCTCCAGTTCTTGACATGCAACAGCCTCACTGTGTGCAACACCTGGTTTGCCAAGAAGCGTATCCACAAGTATACATGGCAGCACCCACGGTCGAAGAAGTGGCACTGTATCGATTATGCCATTGTCAGGCGGCAAGATCTGCTAGCCTGCACAGACTGCCGTGTTATCCGTAGTGCGGAGTGTAGTACCGACCACAATCTTGTATGCTTATCGTTCTGTCTGTCGTACACCGTCAACTTTCGCACCGGAGTAGCACGGCGTTCACGCTTTAATATCCAAGCTCTCATGACCCGCCCTGGTATGACCGACGAACAATCTAATGCCGTGCAGGCTACTCGGCTCCAATTCGCCTCCGGTGTGCAACACCATCTGCAATCGTCTGGGCTAGCTGATACCGTTGATGCCAAGTGGTCGGCATACAAATCTGCCTTGACCTCCAGCGCTGAGGCACACCTGGGCAAACCCGTTCGACTACAACCAGACTGGTTCCTAGCAGCAGCAGACATCCTCCAACCTCTTTTTGCTGAGCGCACACGCCTCCATCAACAGTGGCGTCAATCAGAGCTGCCAGCGGACCACCGCCGCTTCCTCGATGTCCGAGGTAGATGTCGTACCCCAGTTGGTGCAGCGAAGAGTGCATGGTTGGAGCAGAGAGCTAGCACTGTGGAGCGTGGCAAATTTAGTGGTAAGCACGTTTGGTCCGCCATCCGAGACATTCAACGGTGCTATTCAGGACTCCGATCCGTCACCATCCATCCGGTCCGTAATGCTGAGGGCATAGTTTGCACGTCTTTGGAGGAGCAGGAAGACTGCTGGTCCACTCACTTCTCGAACTTGCTCAATGTCCCCAGTACCTTCAATGCCTCCACCGTTGCTAACATCCCTCAACGTGAGCCTGACGAGTCTCTGGCAGTCACACCAACAATGGAAGACCTTGTCGTCGCCATCAGACACCTTGCAAATGGCAAAGCTGGAGGTTCCTCGCGTATAGTCCCCGAGCTTGTGAAAGCAGGTGGCCATGATTCCCTGGACGCATTGCTGGATCTCGTCCAACTTGCTTGGACGACGGCCACTGTTCCGCAGGAATGGCGCGATGCCGAGTTGGTTCCTGTTCCCAAGAAGGGCGACCTGTCCAAATGTGATAATTGGCGGGGTATTGCCCTTCTTGATGTTGTTGGCAAGGTGTGTGGCTGCATGATTCAAGATCGCCTGCAGTTGTTGGCTGAGTCGGAACTCCCAGAGTCCCAGAGCGGCTTTCGGCCAGGCAGGGGCTGTGTTGATGCCATCTTCTCGCTCTGCCAGCTAATCGAGAAAGCATACGGTCAGCAGCTCTTCTGTGTGTTTGTGGATTTGAAAAAGGCGTACGATTCTGTACCACGCGCTGCTCTCTGGGTGGCCTTGGGCCGACTTGGGGTCCCGCAACAGCTAGTGGCCCTGATTAAGGCTTTCCACACCTCTACCTCTGCCTCGGTCCGAGTTGGCAACTCCACCTCTGATGAGTTCCCTGTGGTTAATGGTCTCCGACAAGGATGTGTCATGGCACCCGTTCTCTTTAACCTGTACTTCGGGGCGGTTGTTGAGACATGGCGTGCCCGGCTAGAGGATGCAGGTCGTAGTCACTCTGTCAGCATCCAGTTTTCCATCGATGGCCAACTCTACCCCCGCTCATCATCGCGCAGGGCTGGCGAGTCACTGTCTGTTAGTGACCTGGAGTATGCTGATGATGCCGTTCTCGTGTCTGAATGCCGTAGTGATGCTGAGTTTGGTGTGGAGCTCTTCTGTAGTGTTGCCCGAGAATTTGGACTAACTGTGAGCATCGCCAAGACGAAGATCATGACGGCGGGCCATGGGGTCTCTGCTGAAGACTCGGCTGACATCGTTCTCCCCCTTGGCACTATCGAAGCCGTGCCGAAGTTCACCTACCTAGGATCCATAGTGACCCCTGACAGTCGTTCTTCATCCGACATCAAGCGCCGTATTGCCGAAGCCTCAAAGGCCTTCGGAGCCCTCCAGAAGGTATTCACTGACAGATCTCTGTCCCTCTCTAGTAAACGCCACCTGTACATGGCCTGCGTTTCCTCAATATTACTGTATGGCGGAGAGTGTTGGACCCCACTCCAACGGGATATCAGAAGTTTGGATAAATTCCACCATCAATGCATCCGGACTGTCCTCAGCATCACCAAGCCTCGTCAGTGGTCCGAGCGGCTGTCATCCACAGACCTGCGGAACCGTTGGGGAGACCCAGTACTGATGTCTACACGCCTCCGCAATCGGCGTCTGGAATGGACTGGGCACGTTGCGCGTATGGATGAGGATCGCACCCCCCTCCAACTCCTCTTTGGGTGGCTGCCTGTGCCTCGGCCGTTTTGTGGTCCCCGGCGACGGTGGAAAGACACGGTGATGACCGACCTCAAGGTTGCACTGCAACAGCCATCTCAGTGGTTCATCCTTGCTCAGGACCGCCAACAGTGGAGGGAAGTACGGGTTGCCCCTCAGTCGAGCTCCACCATGCCCAAGTCTGTGCATTGCGCAGTGTGTGACCGGAACTTCTCACGGGTCTCAGATAGGACGCGGCACAAGTGCACCACTCAGAGACGGCTTCCCATCCAGCTCCAGCGTGGATCAGTGCAATGCCAGAACTGCCAGAGGTGGTTCCGCAGCAAGGGTGGCTACTCTGTTCATCGATGCCAGCCTGTCACGAGTTCTCCTACACCAACAGTCAGTCTGTCTGTGCCACTTTCAGCTTGTTGGCAGCAGCACTGCCCAACATGTCAGCGATGCTTCCGTTCTGCGGCCGGGTTCAAGCGTCACAACTGCAATCGTGGTGCGAGACCATCTGCTGCTGAGAGAGCAGCTCTGCCCCTCAGCTGCCCACGTTGTAAACGCAATTTCCGCCGGCAGCAGGACCTAGCCAGACATTCGCGGTCCTGCTTGTGATCCGTGTCCCGTTTTCTGGTCCCCTTTCCATAGGGGTGACACTTGCCCCTCTGGGCAGTCATGCTGCTAGTAGTAGTAGTAGTAGTAGTGTGTGTGTGTGTGTGTGTGTGTGTGCCTGTGTGTGTGTGTGTCTGTGTGTGCGTACATGTGTATACATAATCTCTCCACAGCCATCTTCACTTGCAGCACAACCTCCGTGTCCATCGAACCAGACTGTTGCTGAGGCAAGCAGTGCTGCTGCACAACCTAGTGCAGGTGATGGTGATGGTAGCGGTGACAGTGGTGCGCCTATTCCTGGTAGTGATGCAGATATTCTCGGAATGAAATGCCGCGCGCCATTGGTACAGGTGAGATGGTTTTCGCTGTTACCTTGACTCGCCTTCTGGCTTTGTGAACGTTTTGAATTGTTTCGGGTCGCCTATAAATGAGAAGTACTAATAAAGTCTGGCCAGTGGACGAAAGGGTGGAGCATGATTGTCAAACGGCGGCTATATATCCAGTTCTTGATGTGTTGGTAAATTGGTAGCGGCATGGCTCTGTACACTAGTAACCCTTGGCTCCAGGCCATGTGATCAGCGCCACCATCCTCTTGCCTGTATGGAAGATCCACTAAGGGCGCGTTCAGACTACCGATAAAAAGTGACCGATTGGGAAAGTTTCCAAGGTGATTTGATCACGTGACATTACTGGCACGTTACCGGCGGAAAGGTTTTACTGCCGCGGCTGCTGCATCAGTAAAACTTTTCCGGCGGTAAAAAGAGTGCTCAGGCTGGGAACAAGGGAAAATCCCTTCTCAGTGCCGCGGTGAGAGCTGCACAACTTACGTACCAGTAACGTTAATTTATCGGTAGTGCGAATGTCCTTCACGGTTATCGCCATTCACGGTTTGACGGGATTCACGGTAGTCTGAACGCGCCCTTAGCTAAGTACTTTTGACACAGTAGACCGACTTGCGCAGCCGCTAGATCATGGACTGCGTTCTGCTAGGTCTTAAGCAGGCAAGTTTAATCTCAGCTTCATAATAGCGATGAGGAACTATTTGTATAAAGAAACAGCGACGTGGCACTGTGGAGATGGATGGCGTCCACTGAAACAAACTTGAATATTGTCAGCCACATAGCAAATGTTGCCAGTTCAGTACTTTGAAGTAAATCTGTACTTGTAATCTTGCACATGAACTAAAGACGTATAGTTTAAAAAAGAAGTAAATTTTGCACATCTGTGTTGCCAGCGACTAAGTTATACAGTAGAGCTTTGAAAAAAAATGGTTGCATGTCACAGCCAGCGCGGAGTGATGACAAGTTGACAACGCTGACTTTTGGATCCACCCCTTTGCACACATTGTGTTTGTGTTGAGCAGTCCTGGGGTGCTACACAATACTACAATGCTATGATCTACGGTGCTGAAGAGCCGGATAGCGAAGGCAATGATCAGGTGTGTACACTCTGCGATTACGGTGATGCATCTCTCTCTCTCTCTCTCTCTCTCTCTCTCTCTCTCTCTCTCTCTCTCTCTCTCTCTCTCTCTCTCTCTCTCTCTCTCTCTCTCTCTCCTCTCTCTCTCTCTCTCCTCTCTCTCTTTCTCTCTCTCTCTCACACACATTTCCCACGGCAGCAACAAGTTCCTTCGGAGTACTGAAATATATTTTCTTCCGACTGCTGTTTCGGCCATTGAGACCTCCTCATCAGAGAAGGTCGAGGTCGGCGATCGGTGGTGTAGCCAATTTACGTAGAATGTTCAATGGCCGAATGCGGCTGCTCACCTTCTTCTGCGTACACGTAATATATGCATCAAATTGTTCTCTTGCCGACTGCTTTCTTTCTTTTGTTCTTCCGTATGCTGTGATCAGGTTAGAGTTCTGTTCACTCACCCAACACACATGCCCATCAAGCCTTGTCCTCATTTCCTGGAGGGAAAGTGTCGCTTTGATGACGGAAAATGCAGGTTAGGTTTACTGTACGAGTATGTTGGTCCAATATTCTTCACGGTGGTGCTATTGCTTGTGGTTGATTGTGTAGCTTTGGAAGGTGGCCCCTGTTGAGTGCTGTGTTGTTGTTGTTGTTGTTGTTGTTGTTGTTGTTGTTGTTGTTGTTGTTGTTGTTGTTGTTGTTGTTGTTGTTGTTGTTGCTGTTGTTGTTGTTGTTGTTGTTGTTGTTGTTGTTGTTGTTGTTGTTGTTGTTGTTGTTGTTGTTGTTGTTGTTGTTGTTGTTGTTGTTGTTGTTGTTGTTGTTGTTGTTGTTGTTGTTGTTGTTGTTGTTGTTGTGTGCAGGAGTTCCCATGGTCATGTTGTACTTGTGTCAAGTTTAGAACCGTACAAGGAACCGGACTTCAGGTTGGTCTCCAGTGTGTATTGCTGTGAACTGCTCTGAATTACAAACCTTTCGACACTTCACACAAGTTGCAATGGGGAAGAGGAGAGAAACATGGATACAGATATAAACACAGTCTGACCGACAAAGACTAAAACACAGAGAGAGAGAGAGAGAGAGAGAGAGAGAGAGAGAGAGAGAGAGGACGGACGGACGCACAGACAGACAGACAGACAGACAGACTGGTTGAGATGGAGAGATGAGAAAATTCACTTTTCTGTGATAGAGCGTACCTGTACACTACTCGCTTGAAATTTTAATTGCATGCATATTGAAATAATAATTATTATATCAGCAGAATGCTGAGTCCAGAGCAGCACGTGGCGTAAGTACAAGGATGAAAAGAGGTCAATCTGACTGATTCGTACGTTAGTACTTGATTCAATTTTCAATTAAGCTGATGAATTTGCAACTTCGGCGGTAATAGTCCTCGTGTGCTCCGGATGGCAGTCGTGAGTCAGTCAAGTGTCAAGTTCGGCAAGAAGCGTGTGTTCCTAGTTGGAACAATCCACTTCATGGCTGATGAATTTGGGCAGGATTTGTTGTGGTTTGATTGCCAGGATATTGGTTGGTTTGTACGAATGCATTGCAGCTATGATCATGTGCAGAGTGATCTTTTCTAGACTCTGCTGAGTATCACCGGGTGCTACACGCTCTCCATGCGATGTTCATACTCTGCTGAGTATCACAGGGTGCTACACGCTCTCCATGCGATGTTCACAGGGCAGCCTTTATGTTACATTCAGTACTCACTTTCTTGTTCTCTGGACTGGTGACTGCAGCTTGTTACGAGTTGGTGCGAATATTTGGGCGAAATACGAACATGATGACCTATGGTACGAGGCGACGGTATTGTAAGTTGTACATGCACTGTAGTATTTTTTGATTTGGTGATTGCGGGTATCCAGAGTGAGAGCGTGTATGGTCTGTCTGTGTGAGGTGATGTGTGTGTGTGTGTTTGTGTGTGTATGTATGTGCGTGTGTGTGTGTGTGTGTGTGTGTGTGTGTGTGTGTGTGTGTGTGTGTGTGTGTGTGTGTGTGTGTGTGTGTGTGTACAATGCACTGTGCTGAGGTGCTTGATCTGCTTTAGACTATTCCTGCTGGCTGTTCCTTCTAATCAAAAGCCAACCTAGGTAGAAGACTGCAGTCTGTGTATGGTTGATGGTCGGTTGGGCCAATATCTTGCCTACTGCCTTGGTTGTGCTGTACAAAATTCACCATCGAATTGGTGCTGTCACAAGAGAATTTGAAGCAGGCGAGAAAGCAACCATTGCGCAGGGACAGCACTATTATGGTTCACACAATACTCAATACTCAACAGAGGATATTCATGGCAATAACTTTCAGAACGAAAACAAGAAGAAGAACGACAACCGAAAGAATCAGCATAGAAACTACGCATACACGCACTGTAAGCAGCACGTGCCAAGTCAAATAATGATTTCCAAAGTACAGATACCACATCCCTCCACCATTAGATAAAACTACTGGGAAGAGACTAAAGGCCGATTCGCGTACGGGAAACGCGTTGCGTCGCGAAAAAGTTGATCTGAGCTCAACTGTTTCGCGTACGGGAAAGCCGTCGTGCGACGGCCGCGCGATGGCTTTCCCGTACGCGACATGAAGTATGAATCGTCCTTAAAGAAAGGTTCGTAACAGAACAGTATGAAATGACATGCCACCGGCCACTACAGATCAAGACGTTTAGGCGCAGTGGACACACGAGTAGAGCGTCGCAGAACACCAGCAGGAGAACTAACTGTAGCAGGATTAGAAGCAAGAGGACTCATAGAAACTGCAGGTACAGGAGACAGTGCAGAAGAAGGTGCTTCAGGAGTAGGCTCGGGTACAGAATCAGAAACTGAAGTGGTGGTAGAAGAATGATTATTTGGCAAAGACAGACTAGGAGAGTGAGAATAAGAAAATGACTGTTCATGACGGACTGGAGCTGATGTAGAAGATTCCGGTGAGCTGTCGTTTGGCATGTGCAGACGGACATGGTCAGCATGCCGTTTCCACAGACGACCATCATCTAGATGCAACTTGAAGGTCAAAGGGCCACAGCGTTCTTCGAGAACACCAGGGAGCCCCTTCGGGGACAAGGTGAAGTTCATCACCCAAACTGCATCACCGCACAGGAACTGGGATGCCGATGGCGTCCGACCACCGCACATGCTGGCTTGCTTGGATTCCACATGTGCACCGATATCAGGAAAC